CCTGTGGGGTTCGGTTGTTAGGTTAGCACTCAAAAACTGAGCTTTTGGTTGGGCAGCAGCCTGCAAAGCCTTCAGAAGAATCTCCCAGTGGCAGAGGCACGTGGTCTGAGGTGATCCAAAAAGGATTTCCACCCATAATCCCAGCTCAAACCCAGCTCCTTATTCAGGACTTTGTACAAAGGCCTGGGGCATGTCAGTAGGCAGCCTGGCACACAAAAACCAAGCTTCGGGTTGGGCAGGGGCCTGCCCTGGCTTCTTCAGAAGAGTGCCTCAGTGGCAGAGATCACAAACACTGCGTGCCCCTGGAGGTGGGGGGGGGGCACGGTGACCACCTGCAGGCGGTGGTGGCAGTGTCAGTGACAGGGGTGTGGCGGCGGTGAACAGAGACCACCAGCAGGCGGCTGCGGTGACGTCAGCAACGAGGGCAGGCTGAGTAGGGACTGCCTGCAGGCGGCTGCAACAGTGTTGGCAGTGATGGGCAGTGAGTGGGGACTGCCCACAGCCGTTGTCCGCACTGTTGGCAGCAGTGAGCGGGGACAGCCCGCACAAGCCGGCAGCAGTTTTGGTGGCAGCTGATCTCAGGGGGGCATGGCCCCCATTCCCCCCCCCAACATGTCACCTCTGGCAGAGATGCATGCTCTGGGTGGGATGACCCAAAACCCCCCGACCCAAACCCAGCTCTTTATTCAGGCCTGAGGGCCGTCAGCAGGCAGCCTGGGATGCAGAAACCAAGCTTTGGGTCAGGCAGGGCTCCACCTAGCTTCTTGCCGAGAGTCCCGATTGCAGGGACGCATCTTTTGACCTGAAAAGGATTTTGTCCCGTAGTCCCACCCCAAACACAGCTCCTTGCTCAAGGCTGCATGCTGTCGGTGGCAGGCTGGCACAGAAACACAGAGCTTTGGGCCGGGCAGCATCCTGCCCAGGCTTCTTTAGGAGACAGATGGCTCGTGGTGACCCAAAGTGGGTTTTGCCCCATAATCCTAGCCTAACCTCGGCTCTTTATTCAGGGTCATGCCCCAATACAGATTATTTTACACTGTTTTTAGTAAGTGCACATTTCTGATGAACTCCGAAGTCTTTAACGCGTCTCGTTCACTGCGAACATCCTTCCCCCGTGTGAAGATCAGCTCTGACACAGGGCCGAGGGTGAGGAACCAACTGTGGCCGCGCCGGCCCCATGAGGCTGCCCAGGCCCGAGCAAAGACCGGAGCGACTCCTCGCTCGGGTTGCCGTGCCGGGGCTCGCACTGCGCACGCGCGGACCCGCAACCCTGCCCCTGTCCAGGCGTGTGATCCGGGCCAGGCGCTGCTTCCGCTTCCACTTCCACTTCCACTTCCGGGCCGGGGTCCGGATCGTTGCTGCTGCGGCCGGGACCGGCGGGCAGGTCGGGAGGAGCGCGGGGCTGGGTGGGGGTGCGGTGCCTCGGGCCGGGAAGGGGCCCTGCCGGGGGCAGGAGCCTGGGTGCGGCGTCGCGGGTCCCCGCTGAAACGCAAAGGAGCTGAGGAGGCGGGTCCGGCCTCGGTGTTGGGGCTGGGACGAGTGGGCTGCCCCTGGCACCAAAGAGTGCGCCTCGAATGGGGCGGTAGCCTTCCTGGGTAGGGGCCGAAAACACCCGCAGCCTCGAGCTGTCGGGTGTTGGTGCCGGGAGAGCCGCGAGGGGCCCGACCCTTGCTGTGGCAGTGCAGCCCCGGCCCCTTGGCCGCTGGCCGCCCCGACGTGCCAGTAGTGAGCCGGGCCGCGCCTGGTGTAGCCAACTGCAGCTTCCCAGCTGCCTGGCACAGCCGGCCCCGGGTCTGGGCAGGCCCTTGGTGCTGCTGGCAGCAGGGAAGCAACAAGGAACTGCCCAACGGAGCCCCACCCCGGCTCGTTGCCGGCGGCAGACAGCAGGGAAGCAGGGCAGGACAGGCCGGCATTGCCACAACGAGGGTTGCACCCCTTGTGGATCCCTGCCATCTGCCCTCAGGCGCACGTGTCAAGCAAAATACCGTCAGGTGCTGTGCTCTTGCACACGTGCTGGGGTTGCTTACCCCTGATTTAGAGCACAGTTAAAGTCAGTAAGTGACCCAGCTGTCATCTCATCTCCTGTTTCACTGGTCAGGACTGAGGCTCTGGCTGGGGACACCAGGGGGAGTGCAGGGCTGTTGCTCCTCTGCTGGCATCTCCGGGCCTAGTTTCACTGGTCGACACCTGCAGGCTGCCTCAACTGATTCAGGGGGCAGTGGGTGCTGGCTGATGAGCTCTTTCTGGTGCCCATTCCATATCCCTTGTTATTAACTTATGACCTCACTCCCCTTCCTGGTTTCTTTTTATTTGTCCCAAGCAATCCGTTGATGTGTCTGCAATGATCTCCCTTATTAAGGCAGGCGTATGCAAGTACTTCTCACTTAACGTCATCCTGGTTACTGTTTTGTTATATTACATTGCTGATTTGTTAGAGAAGGTACTTGTTTAAAGTTGTACAATGTTCAGATATAGCATTGTTTGGCCACCACCTGCTAATAGGTAACTACTGTGATGTAATTGGATTTGCTCAACATCGTGTCGCTTAAACTTGTGTTTTTCAAGAACATAACTATGACGTTAAGTGAGGAACAGCTGTAGTATTTTACGATGGGTAGAAGGTCATGTTCCTTGGTACATCGAATAGGCCTGTTTTGCTGGCCAGGTGGATGCTTGACTGGGATGGTTAAGTCAGGGACCATCCCGCCATGAGTGGAGGGTTGTACTAGGTGTCCTCTTGAGGTCCCCTTCTAGCCCCACTTCTCTCTCTCTCTCTCTCTCTCTCCCTCCTGCTCCAGTTTTCCCTTAAAGAACTGGTCTGATAGAGCGACTTCTCTTCTGCATTTGACTGATCAGGCTACTACCTTCCAATCTTGTTCTAGGCAATTAAGTATCTCTCTTAGAAAGAAACATTTTTTTTTTAAGGTGTTTTCAAAGCTAGGAAGTTGAATGAGCCCAGCCAGCTCCAGAGTTCATCAGATCTCAGTGGGCCACCATTGGGGGCAAGGCATGCAGACTATCATTGTTACTCAACATGAATGTTGCTGGCACCCAGTTAAACTAAAGGTGCTGTTTGGTTGTCTTGTAACAGTAAACTTTTGTTTTCATTTGGAAAATGAGATGCGTGTCTAACACGTTCATGCATCTGTTCCTGGTTTTCAGAAACGAGGTTGTTGTTGTTTTTGCCTAGGGACTGGAGAAAAGCTAATTCTTACCTTGATCTAAATGTGATTGCTTTTAATCTGGATGAAAATATTTTCAGCATCAAGTTCGGAAACAACTCCCATCTTCTCTAGCATATCTGTATTGCTTCATGTGCCAGGGTTGCTAATTACAAAGCTGTATTGCTGTTGGCCACCTCAGATGACTGGTTTATTAAGTAATATGACATTCTAAACCATGTACTTGAGAACAATTATAACACTTTAGGCTATATATTATGAGGCACAACCCAAACCTGTCTTAACCAAATAAGAGCAATTATTACTTTACAATTTGCCTTGAGTTCACTATTTCAATTATGAAATGGAGTTTAAAGTAACTTCCTCAGCAATTAAAGCTGTTTACTTAGAGTTGAAAGATGTTTTTCATTAAAGTGCCTTGCTTACTAATCATCTGGAGTAGGGAGGCTCAAGAGGTAGCTTGTCCTCAATGAAAACTAATCATTTTCTTCCTTCATGGCACACATTTATAAACAGTTTCAAAATGGAATTTTGGCCATTAAATGTTGCTTTCTTTTAATGTGGATCTCTAGTTACATGGCTGAATTTCAAAATCCCATTCTTTTGGGAAGTTGCTGACGCTTTTTTTTCTTTCCTCAGATTAAGAGCACTATTTTAGAATTGTGAGTGAACTGTAGCGTAACTGCAGGTCTATCTTAACTCCTTCAGTTATGGGAAGTTATTTTAGACAAGTATTTCTCAATTCTAATGCAATAAAAGGAAATGCTTCATGCCACTCAGTGACATCCATCATGTTGACTCTGTTGTGTGACAGAATATATACAGATAGGGATTGTAAGCCTGCTGAAATGAACTAAGCTCTAGAGTTAATCGATCTTAGTTAGTTAGTGCACAGCATACTTGAAGGGCCATACACTGTGGAGCAATGACCTTAGAGCAGGGATGCTCAAACCCTGGGCCTCTGATCACATCAAGTCTGTGTAGCCAGGCCACAGGAGTCCCCATTGGACTGAAAATTTGGTGGCAAGGGAGCAGTGGCAGCAACTGCTGCTCCCCTGCTGCTAAATTTCCAGACTTGTAGGGAGCCCTGCAGGCCAGATGGCATGCCAGATAGGTGTGTCTGGGGCCAGATCTGGTAGAGGTGCACCAATGCATCAGTCCATATTTTATCAGCACTGAAAGAAGGAAAATTGACATTATCAGCAATCACCTTTTTTTTTTTTTTTTGGCTGATGTGGCTGATAATGTCACTGATAAATGCTGCTTGCATGCATGCAACCAGGAATGCAGCCTGGCAGCTTGGAGACCAGTGTGCAGCTGGTAAGTCTGTGGTGAGGGGAAGGGTTATGGGGGGGGGGCAGACTGAGGCCCCCACAGTGAGGGAGGGAGTGGGGCAGGGACAGGTGCTGCCCAACCAGGGTGGTGTGGGGCTCAGGATGGAGCCAGCTGCTCATCCAGAGGCTGCAGGAGGGGCAGCTCCTGTCACTGCGTGCACTCCTGGGGGAGGCATGGGGGGCATGTGCTCCCCATATCTGTGCACAGGGAGAAGACAGGCTGCACACTTGGGGCCAAGGCTGCTCCAGCCTCTTCCTGGCAGCTGCGCTCAGGCCAGGTGGGGCGAGGCAGGCAGCAAAGGTGCTGGGAGGGGGCTATGGTTAATTTTGGGGTGGCTCTAGCCCCCCCCATAGTCTCCTCCTTCCAGCACCGCCATTGCCTGCCCCACTTCACCCAGCCCTAGCAAAGTCGCTGGAAAGAGGCTGGAGCAGCCCCAGCTCCGAGCACGCAGCGAGCAATCCACCCTCACCCCATGCACGGATCCAAGGGGGTACATGCCCCATTATTCCTCTGGGGGTGTGTGCAGCGGCGGGAGTTACCCTACCCTTCTCCACCCCCTGGATGAGCCTCCAGCTCCATCCTGTGCCCTGCCTCAGCCCAGCCGGGTAGCACCTGCCACTACCCCAGCCCTACTCCCTCCCTCACTGCAGGGGCCTCAAACTGCCCCCCCATACCCCTTCCCTCCCTCACACCTCTTCCTCCAACAGACTTACCAGCTGGATGCTGCTCTCCAAGCTGCTGGGCTGCATGTCAACAACTGGATTGGTATCTGCCAATTTGGCTGGTCAATAATCACCCCAAAAATCACCCCAAAAATCTTTATTGGTGCACCCCTAAGATCTGGGCATGTAGGGTTTAACTGGAGGTGGTGTGGGCCCCAGTCCTGCGGATCAGAGCCCTGAGAGGTGGCTCAGGGCCTGATCCAGTTCGAGGGCTGCCCCTGAGCCACTCACTTGGCCAATGTGAGCAAAAAGTTGAGCACTACTGCCTTACAGCAAAGCCCAACCTTAAAAAGTCCTGTAGGAATTTTAATACCAGTTGAGCAGAAGTAATTTCAGGAGTAGCATCCAAAAAGTTGCACAATGTATGTAGGCAGGAGTTTTCTTATTTCGTGGTCTCCTGTGTTCCCCTCTCTATTTTTAAATCTTTTTTTTCTTTTGAGGTCAAAGTCTGTTCTTTACCCTTTTGTGACTAATCTGTTTTTGGTAGGTTTTGCTCCTGACAGTCTATTCTTTCTATTGCTCTTGATCTGCCTTAACCCATGTATGTAGATTTTTTTATAATCAAGTTAGGTTCCATGAAAGAACAATACAGAAAAGGCCTAGTTCATGTTTTCCTGCTATTATTTATAGATGTGTCAATTATGTAACTTTCTTCCAAACAGATATTTGAAATTGTTTCTAATAAATACTAAGCAGTTGTGTAACTGAGAAACTTTGCAAAAACAGCTCTATACCAACATCCAGTGAAGAAGAAGAGGGGTTGCACTTGCCAAGTCATGTGTCCCTAGCAGCAGGAAGCTATTCTGAATTAAGAACATTATTTTTAAAAGTTGTAAGGGATGGATGGTTGGATGGTGGCCACCTTCTGGAGCATGTCTATCTGGCTGAAAAACAGACGGCATTCCTAACTGTGGGCTAGAATGGCACTGCAGTCTCTGGGAAACACAACTTTTTGAGTTAATGAATCAGACACATTCACAAAGCTTTTTGGTCTTACTCTGCAATGCTGTCTCTGGTTAATGTATAGTATTGCTGCACTACACAAATTCAGTCGCGTAAAACTAATTATCTGTCTGCATTGGCTATACGATCAAATATGAATGTTGTCCCTCATTGTGTTGGTCTATGGTTCAAAGTCGTCTTTGCGGACTGTAAAGATGGCACCGACTTAATCACCTGTGAGCGTGTGCATGCAGGCTAGTGAGTTCTTATTTTATGCTCCTATCATTGTTATAGAGCCAGTACCGCTGTGAGATTAGAGCTGGATTCCATTAGTTAACGTGTGCATCACCAGAATTGCTCAGCATGTTCCAGTATCAGGGACTCCTTGTGGCTGGTGATGGGTGAGCCTGAAAGAACACAGCTTGACTTGTACATCCCAGGGTGAGTTTGCTGAGCTGGCATCTCAAGACTGTACAGTAAACTGAGCAAATGCATTCTGAAATTGAGACAGATATGGAGTTCACTATAAAGTATCTGCTTAATTTTATCTAGCACAGTATAATATGTTTTAATCTCTACTTTTTTTTAGGATTACTTTGAGAAGTCCAGTGTTTGCAAATACACCAGTAATGGATTGGCTTAATCCATTGTATACAGTGCTGTTAATTGATATTTGATTTCTTGGCTGAAAACTGAACAGGTGATACATTTCCTTATTGTCCTTGGCAAAATGTCAGAACTGTTCGAAACAATGTACATGCCTTTAAGCCACCATGGTCAGCATTATTGTACTAGCCTTATACATTTCACTCTTAGGTGAAAGTCTTCTCAGTGTTGAGTCTTAAAAGAATTTGGCTTGAAACCACTCTTTCACTCTGGGGTAAAGAAGCTGACCTTAGCAAAGTATCACCTTGTAGGGTTCTCACTGGGCCGTATCTGCATGGGGTTTAAGCAAATATGGTACTACTTTTAGTAAATGAACTGACATAGCCAAGATTTGGGCCAGGGCCAAATCAAAGGTATAAATGCTACACAAACGGATGTGTGGTTAAGCAGTAAATAGATGGACGTATTTGCAAATATTATTAGAAGTTGGAGATTGAACAGTCTTTTAGACCTCTTGTTGAAAAACTTGAACTGTCAGAGATGTCGTAACTCTTTTGCTTTGGACTAAATCTCTGTGATGCTTTTGTCTAAATTAAGCACCTGATCTAGACTGATGCTACCAAAAAACCTATAAAATAGAACTCAAAGGTAGGTGTTATTGAAAGATTTAATGGGCTAACAATGGTTGTTTTTTAGGTCGGGGGTGAGGGTTAGTTGGGGGGTGTTCCCTAGCTCCCTACATTAAGCTACAAAAGCTGGCATGCAAGGGACACTGTTATGAAGAGATCATGTTCAAAATTTGCTTGATATGTTAGGAATAACTTATTTTGAAGCTCACCGTGTCATTTACAATTAAAACTCTGAGTTGCTGTATGTTTTGCAATTACTCTAAGTTTAAGACTTTTCTAAGCAATACGTTGACTACATAAGTGGTTTTGTATTTATTTCTGATGCACTGGTGACTAGAAATATTAAAAGTCAAGGTAATTATTAGTTCTTGTCTTCTTTTCCAGCATGGGGCAACGGTGGGGCTGATATGCTGAAATGGTTATTAGTAACATCTCCTGCTTTCTTCTAATTATTAAGAATAAAATAACTCTCAAATTAAAATAGTTATTTTGAAATAAAGCTGAAACCTTTAGTTTAATGCCAGAAATAATCTCCTATTGAAATCCTGAAAGCAGGATGACAAGAAATTATTAGCTTGATCAGTTGAACAAGAACCTGTTGTCATGCCTAACTGATTTGTCTTTTGCAAGTTTCACGGCAATTCCTTAAATACTATCTTTAGGGAAAAATGACAGCTTGTGAGTACTCAATAAAGCAAATTTTACAATGTTGTTGAGCTAAAACTTTGTGATGTTCTTTCCCACAGGTCCCTTTTTTGATCTCCTTCCAAAGACAAGAGGCCCTAGCTTGCCAGGAATCTGTATTAACTGTATTCAGGCTGGACTGAGGATGGAAGGTGTTGAATTTAAGGAAGAGTGGCAAGATGAAGATTTTCCTAGGTAAGTGATGGCTTATACAAATAAAATATACCTATCTTACTAATCTATGAAAATGAATAATTTCTTTCATAAGCAGGGCCTATAATTAAAGTCAGTTACTCTTTTTGAACAGGATCCAGTAAAGCTTTAATCATGACGTCAAAGCATACTTTTTGTTTTTGTATACTCCTTGGGACAAAATGGGCCACTTTCTCCTCCTCTTGATGTTTGTGAGACCTAAGGTAACTTACTAATTGGAAGCAGGCATTTTTAAAATAATATAGTACTGTTCAAAGAGTCTTGAAACTTGCTTTGTCATGCATCGGGAAGAGGATCTTTATGTTAGTGATGCCAAGGACAGCACATCATTCCTAAGAGATTGGCTTAAATTTTGTACATTAGCATAGTGATGATTACAGTAAGGTTAAGGTTCCAGGGTATCTTTTGTGAGTTTAAGTAGTTTTTGTGTGTTCTTGTTTATGCTTTTAAAAACTGAAATGTAGTTCACTGAATGTTATGCTTATAAGCATTGGTTAACAAAGTTGGAAACAATTTGAACAGTACGCTTTGGAACATTTTGTAAAGCCTTTAAAGAACTACACAAACAGGGGAAATCCTGAAGTATAAGTCAGTTCTAATTTGAGGTTGGTTGTTGGTACTGAGAGAGAATTTCAAATTGAAACTTAGAGGTATGCATCACAATAAAGGAGTGCATTTTCCAGAGAAATATACTGACTAGTATAAGCTCTTAAGAAGAAAATTTGTATATAATTTTTCTATTAAAACTGACTTAAGTTTCTTTTAATCCTCAGTTTTACTTTTTCCTTTGTTGCCTTATCCAAAGCTATGGCAAAGACATTGCATTTCACTGAAACGTCCTGTTTTGTGCAGTATGGTTAATTCTGCTAAAATACACCGTTTTCCCCATACTTTCCTACAGTTTTGCTTTGTCTTATTTATAGGTATCTTGAAGGTTTCAAAGTATGATGTCACGCAGTTATGTCTGAAAATAGGACTTCTAAGAACATAGTTGTCCAAAATTTAGGATGGCTGTCAGAACTGTAAATGAAGTATTGTTTATGCCTTTAAGGAACTGCTTGAGCTTCATAGCAAAACAAACTGAATTGTTTTTGGGGGGTTTTTTGGTGTTAAAAGATGAGATGACTTGAAGGGTGAAGAAAACATAAACAGTCTGGTGCCTGTAATAACAGGCAGACAGTAACCACTGACTTGTCTCATATCAGCCTGTAAAACTCACTTGAAACTGCAGCTCAGTGTTCCACCATTCTAGTGCTCTGCTGACAGCTTAGCTGAGTCCTCAAATGTGATTAATCTGACTCTGGGCCATAACTTTCTTTTTGTAAAGTGCATATTGTGTGTTAAAAAGCACATTCTAACCAGGTGACATGTATACCTGTTCACAAATGAACCTTGTGCATTGAAGCTGTATTTCTTACGAAATGCATCTCTGTTCCCTGCACCAGGCCCTTGCCTGAGGATGACCATGCTGAAGCAGATACGTCAGATGCAACTGGAAGAGAGGGACAGCCTGGTAAGAATCTGTAGCTTCAGTCAAACTGATTATTTCTAACCTAAATGGCCTCCTTAGAAATATGGAAGTTGCTGCACAACATTTTAAAAAGGTAAAAAGTCAGTCTTAGGTAAGCAGCTTCTTAATCAGTATACTTGTTTTTAATACATACTATCAAGGTTTATTGTCCAGGAAAAACAGGTTCATGGAATATATTGCTCTGAAAGCATTGTCTTGCCCTGTAAACTGAAAGCCAGTTAGTATGTGCTAAACATGAACTATTGCACTATATTTTCATGACTGGTCTTGAATTCACAGAAACCAAATAAAGATGAGTCTTTCTGTCAATTTTAAGACCTGAATGAATTCTACTGAACATCTTGCGTTCTTTCTGAATGTCCTTTTAATATAGGTTGCAGTGGATCTTAGAACTGAAACACAGTATCTCGAGGGAGAAAAGAGGGTATATGGCTGTTGCTTAGATCTAGAAATAACCATGCTGTACTACATCGTGTTTGTTTCTTAACTTTTGGGATTTCTTGGATCTTGTCTGTCTAATTTAGCTTGATATTTGGATGTGTCACTAATTTTATTTCCTCTTTTCAACTTCTTTTTGAATCGCAAGTATTTGCCGCATTTCTTTGAGCATGTTGAGTTCACCTGTTAATCTTTAACCTTTGTCAGTCATTACTTAAAAATTGTTCATCAGTAGATTTTTTTTCAAGGATGGTTACTATTAAGAGTTAAATAACACAATCTTCTCTGATCTCTAATGCAAGTTAGCACCTGAAGTCTAACAGAATGTGCTGTGTTGTATTGTTTTGTCACATTAATTTACTGCCATTTACCATGTATTTCAATATATAGCTGTCACAGATTCTGTCCAAAATGGAAAATACACAATACTAAAAAACACTGCTGGTTGTAGAAAGTGTTGTAATGGAGAACTAGAATGACATGAAAACTATTACAATACGAAATACAAGGGGTGGAGTACAGGACCTGGAATCCTGGACTTACGTACTGATACAGCAATAAAGTTATTCTGTTTCATATTGTTGGGGATATGAAAAGTTGGTTGAAATGATAAATGTTCATTTATTAGGGACTTAATTTTACTATTTTCAGCACTGTGGTGTAATGAATTAGCTATGAATGTGCAAACATGCTCAACTTTTAGATTGTAAAATAACTAGACTTTTCTTCTTTTCCCAAATTCATTAGAGGTTAATGGAAACAAAGTTAAAAAGAAATTAATGGCTCCAGATATTAGTCTAACATTGGATCACAGTGAAGAATCAGTTTTGTCGGATGACTTGGATGAGAGTGGGGAGATTGATTTGGATGACTTGGATACTCCATCTGAGAATAGTAATGAGTTTGAATGGGAAGGTAAGGATTTGTTACCACATGTAATGTTTCAAATTTCCTTACACACAGGTGCCTTATTGTACTTACTGAATCCAGGATGACTTTGAAGTTAAGAACTCTCCCCACCCCCCAAATAATTAGATGTTGTATATAGAAAATGTATAAATATGGTAAAAATGGTACAAGTATGTTAGAAAGAAAAGATGATGGAAGAAAGCAAGAAATCTGAGTAACGCCTGATCCTTTCTTTTATCCTAATAAGCAAGAAAGAGTCAGTCACCTTAGAAACCTTTTCCATTTCAAACTTAATGATCACCAAAGGACTCTTAAAATTGTAAAACCTTTTTTTAATTACCTAAGAATTTCATTTTATATTGTACTTCCAGAACTATGTTTAACTGAGTTTGAACAGTAAGGCTGTTCTAAAACTGGAAATAAGGCCTTGACACTACATTCTTTTCAGAGGGAGCCCTCAAGCCTGTATTAAGTCTTGTTTAAGTCAGTGGGCTCTGTATAAGAATTCAGATGAGAATCAAACTGCAGAGTTGTGGTCTTTTTTATAAATTAAGAATCCTTCCCTATCAGGCTGCTGGGGTTCTTAAAACAACTCATACAAAAATTGACAGTTGTCCATACTACCTTATTTTTGTGCTGAAGATTAATGATGTTGTCTTAAGTTTTGATCTAAAGTACCAATTAATATTAAGTTCTGAATTCTCCTAATGTTAAATGTTTACTTGATTTTCTTTTTAAATACTCGTAAGAGCAGTTCATTCCTGAATGAACTGCAACACTACTGAGTATAATGGGTATTGGGGAAAGAAAATAAGGCATCAAACATTAATTTATTTTTTAAAAAGCTTAAATGAAGGGGTTTTTAAAGTATCATAACTTCAGCATTCAGAGTTAGAGGTTATGTGGATCTAACTGTGGAGTGGGATTGCCATCTTTTGACTTCTTGAGGGACTATGAGTTGGCACTTCAGGATAACTTTACAATGTAACTGAGGAAATAGTCCACTTTTGTTGCAAAAGTTGCTGAAAAGGGTTTCTGTCTTTTCTTCCTTTAATGCTGCTGTCTTCATTTTCCTGGAAGGATAGTTTCCATTAACAGCTTTGTCTTGGAAACAGACAACTAACATGCAGTAGGTTTTTCTCACTTTTGGGTAAGGTCTGTGCAACTAAGTCAAAGAATCACCAGTTTTATTAGATCTGTTTTCTTCAGATTGCTCTTAAACATAAATTTCACTTACTGTTTTTTTGTTTTTTTTTTTGCATATGTGAATTGGCTTTAATTCCTTATAAATTTGTCTGCATGTATGCTTGCCAGATATTATCAATGTGTAAGTTGCTTCACTGTAAATCTGATCAAACAAAATACAATCATTGAAGTTAACCACTTTCTGTTGATTTTTTGATGGTATTTATGGGAATGAATGTTTAAAACAATATGTATATTTGCTAAAAGGCCTCCTGTGTAGCTAGAAATTTATAAGTAGCTAGACCCTTCATGATAAAATACAATCAAGAGAATCTGAGCATTCATATGAATGCTAAGATACTATGCTGATGTAGGAAAGGTACTGTGACCACTTCATGCAAGAATACAATATAATCTCATTTATCCACATCTTGGAGTGCCTGATACAAGTTTGTTATTATCTCTGTCCAGTACCAGAGAAAATTATAACAATCTAAGCAGATAGTAAAGTGGTTAACTAATAATTGGATTAGATACAGCCACATATAATCACAATGGTCTTTAACATGTTTTAATTTTGGCAGACGATCTTCCAAAACCAAAAACTACTGAAGTAATTAGGAGAGGATCGCTTTCTGAATATACTGCAGCAGAAGAGAGAGAGGATGGGCGACGCTGGCGTATGTTTAGAATTGGAGAACAGGACCATCGGGTGGACATGAAGGCAATTGAACCCTATAAAAAAGTTATCAGTCATGGAGGTAAGAAATAATGATGTTTTTGAGAATTGTTAGCATCTAATGTGCAACTGAACAGGAAGAAAAGGAATAATTTTGGATGCAAATGGATGAAGGTTCTTTGGAGGATGGCTCCATTATGACCTGCAGTAAGAAAACCTTAAAAAAACACAACAAAAATCTATGAAGTATAGTCCTCATCATGACTCATTACCTTACACTAAGGGGGAAAAAACTCCACAAGATGTTGGAAAAAGTTAAGTTACTTTAAGAGAATATCATAACTGTCTGGGTACATTTCACTGTTTGGGAAAGTCTTGGTAGATTGAGTATACTCTGTGTACATATACAGTGTGTGCAAAATCTTTTAGATTCCCTAGCAGGCTGGTTAATGTGTTTTTCTTTTTCCTTTCTATGTGAAAGGAAGGGAAAATTGACCATGCAAAATGCTGTTAGATGCATAAATAAATTAAAAATGCTAAAGCACAGAGATTAGAGAGGGGCTTTTATTTCATTTTTTAAAATTTCGGCTATTCTTTGTAACAATATGTAACAAAGCAGACCTTTTAAATAAATGTCTCTTGAGCCTTTCTTTGTCTGTATTATGACCCCCATATAAAATGGGATGTTTTCTTACCTTTGTAAAGCACTTTGAAATAGAGAAGAAGAGAGCACAGTAAGTGCCCTTTTATATGAAATTGATCAGACTACAATAAGGTGTCAGTTCTTATTGCTGCTGTATTTCCGTTTGCTTTTCCTAGGTTATTATGGTGATGGGTTAAATGCCATTGTTGTGTTTGCTGTCTGCTTTATGCCTGAAAGCAATCAGCCAGACTACAGATATCTAATGGACAATCTGTTTAAGTAAGTAATATTTTTCTGTCATTAAAAACTGTTCTGAATGAAACTCCACTGTCAGAGTTTTTCTCCTCAGAAAGAACTACACATGTTCTGTCGTCTTTTATATAGTATTTTATATTTGAGAAGCAGCATATCTAATTAAAATATTAAATTTAGATATGACCACTTTTAAAGTTTTAGTTTAAAAATTCTTAAGACTTTAATTCTGTGAATAACATTTCTTTAAAACTCTTACCAAAGGGCAGGTTGTCGTGTGTGTGTGTGTGTGTGTGTGTGTGTGTGTGTGTGTGTGTGTGAGAGAGAGAGAGATAAGTTAAGTCATCCACAATGTGTGTGTGTGTGTGTGTGTGTGAGAGAGAGAGAGAGAGAGATAAGTTAAGTCATCCACAATGTGATTTGAAGGCTTTCTTCTTTATCTCTTCAGGTATGTTATTGGCACTTTAGAATTATTAGTAGCAGAGAACTATATGATAGTTTACTTAAATGGTGCTACAACGCGGAGAAAAATGCCAAGCTTAGGCTGGCTCAGGAAATGTTACCAGCAAATTGACAGAAGGTAAAATATGTCTTAATGTCAAAATATCTCTACATTTCTTGGTTGTGTATTCTTTTTCAGAATTTCTGATTAGCATAGTATGAGTTTAGGCAGCTTCAAAAAAACGTGCTGGAGATTCTCCCCCCTTCACGCCCTCCACCCCCACCCTTCAGGTAACAGTAGTGGAAAAGTAGTATGTTGGGGTTGGAGATACTATTGATGAACCATAACAGGACACTTGCTATGGAAGATACATTATGACTCCTTCATACAGTAGTACAATATGGTTTTGTTTTAACTTGAGCTTTAAAGCTGGTACTTTTCTGGGCAGGTCAGTATCAAAACTGCATAAACATTCAGAGGAGTTAAATGGAAGGCTATGTGTAGCAATTCTCTTGCATATGATGAGAAGCAGCAAAATTGCCTCTTGCGTCACCTAGAATCACGAGTGTTTACATATGCGTTTATAATGCTGTCACAATCAGTGTGTACATATTTGCTCATCTGACCAGTGAATAGGCATGAAAGTGAGGAAAAAATGTGGGATTTTTGTCATCATAGAATATACAGAGAGTATGGATTTGAAGTTTCTTTTTGGCTGAAGAACCAGTTTTATACAACAGTGACTATGCTTTGGATGAAAGACTTCAAATAAAAGTAGTCATGGTTAGGTGTCTTTTTTTTCCCTAGAAAAAAAAGTCTCTCTCTAAGATCCCAGTTGAAGGAGGCTTTTCTCTCCTATTGTACATATACCTCATTTGTCAAGGGAATTCTACTTTTTATTCTTTTATGTGAACAGTTGTTAAAATGTGTAGAAATAAGAGTTTCCTATGTTGCCTCTTAAGTGGTAGAAATGTATTGTTCCAGATATTTTATCAGAAAGGTTTAATGATGTCTAAAGCCAGCAGTTCAAAATTTTACATTCAGCATGACCTGCTTTTGTTAATTTTATCCTCTTGGTAGATTGACATTTTTCTAATAGAGGCTTACTCGTTAGACTGTACGTGCCAGACAGCAGTAGTATTGGTTAGTAGAAATTATGTTTTTGCTGTTTTTCACTTCTTTTGTTCTAACACTGATGTCCAATCTTTAGGTTAAGGAAAAACCTGAAATCACTAATAATAGTTCATCCTTCCTGGTTTATCAGAACACTTCTGGCCATCACAAAACCTTTCATTAGGTAATATTGTTGAAATTTGTGTTATTTACTGAAAGTATCTCTGTGTGTGTTACATGTCAGAAAGTTTTACTTTTAATATTGAGTGATGTATCCAATACTTTAAATTGTAACTGTACTTTACGTTTGTTCTTCCACAGCTCAAAATTCAGCCAAAAAATTAGGTATGTCTTTACCCTGGCAGAGCTAGCTGAACTCATCCCCATGGAATACGTTGTCATACCAGAATGCATAAAACAGTACGTTTCATTATGCAAACATGCTAAATTGCAGTCAGTATAGAATGCAAATATGTAAAAATATTACTGTTTGGGTTTGTATTTGCAAACTTGTTTGGAATGAAGTTGGTACACTAAGGAAAGATATCATGCTTGAGGATGATGTTAAAATTGTGTATGCAGCAATATAATGTTAGCCAGATCATTAATACACAGTTCTGTGGTTTGCTTAATCTAAATTAAATTGAGTTGGGAACCAGTGTTTTGGAGACAGTGTCTCACTGAGACTGTTCTTATTCATGGGCATTAAATTAAGTTGGTAGTATGACAAATGCTCACAAAAAGTAAACAATGAAGTATCATTCCAGCAATTGAGAATTCCATTTTAAATTAAGAGGATAGATCTAATGGTGCTTTTAAAACTAAATGGAGGGCTGGGTAGTGTTCAGGTCCTTTTCATCCCTGCACAGAAAACTGAGATGTCAAGGGAGTGCACAGTGTCCCACCACAACAAAAGCACAGCCTTGGGTATGATGATAGAAATGCTAAGTAGGTTATCTGTGGCTATAGGTACTGAGCAGCATGATGCTCAAAAAGCAGGACTAATATATTGAGCAACAAAGCTAAGGATCCTAAAAACACCTAGTGTAGCAACTTTTGTAGCTGATACACTGATGGCAGTTAATATAAAGAACCAACAGGGAACAATCACAGTAGCAGGGCGCTCTTCCTTTTTATTTGGTAAGAATATAATGGCAGCATTGCTCTTTAGTGTGAGCTGAGAGCCACGTAAGGCAAGCTTTTTTTTTTTTTTTTTTAATAC